AGAAATGTTTAATAAAGTAAACAAATAAATATTAAGCTTTTTTTTAATGTTGATACCCTTTAAGATCATAATTGCTCTTTATTTCATAAATTACAGTTTCATATTTTTAATTTTATAATTTCTGCATGCCATCTTACCAGATTTAAACTGATGATCTGTAATCCGGAAAAACCGATAATCCAGAATCGACGAAGTCCCGACTAAAGACTTTTGACTGTATTATGTTTGAGTTTCGCTAACAAATCTGATTTAATTTATATCTTTTCTGAATGCCTCATTTCATCCCCGACTTGCTCATTCCAGAAAATTAGGTACAATTGAGTGGTAAAAATTCGTGTCAAATTTGGGAAACAGCTTGTAAGCATATGAGTACTTAGGTCAAACGTTGGCTGATGCCCATAACGCCTGCCTCTTTAGCGAAAACGGCTGCATCAGAAGACATCAGAGTCTTAAGCCATTAGCATGGTTGGTAAGTTAAGATTTTTAATTAATTTTTAATAGTCGATCCATAGTTTGTATCCTCGCTTAGAAAGTATTTAGATATTGTAAATACAAAGCGAGTTAAAGGACATTGTGATTCACTTCCAAGTTCAGATGACTGGTAATATTATTTTGCAATGCTTTGCTTTATCTATCACGAGTGGTGAAGTAAAATAAATGTAAGTTAGATAGTTCAACATTTATTTAGGATAACAGTGATAACTCACCTAACAGCTTTTAAGTAACAGTTGAGAGGAAGAACTGAACTTAGTAGTTAAAATGTAAATATAGTGCCTTAAAATTATTACAAAATAAGTTCTAGCAGCTTTGAACACTATTTTTTAAAGAAACACCTGCCCTTCAACTATTAAATACTCTATAAAATTTCCAACACAGAACTTATTAAATTATGGGGTACTATTCGGTTTCGAGGGCCGTAAAAAAATTGCAGCGAAAATGTACGCGCAAAAGCGCCAAATCTAGCAAACATGCGCCCATTTAACAGCAGCGCCAAATCTAGCGTATGCGTTGATTTCAGATTGCGTAAGTTTATATAGTTCTATTTGCTTAAGATGCCATTGAAATATTAGTTTAATTTTTAAATCCTTTTTTGATATCCTATAGATTTAAGCAATTTTTGGGAATTGGCCCATGACGAAAACTCGGCAATAGAATTTTGGGTAAAGTGCAGTATCACCCACTGCTTGACGCGTTTAATTGCACATACTCGGTATCCATGTGCACATCGACCTATTTTCACTTAAAAAAAAAAAAAAAAAAAAAAAAAAAAAAAAAAAAAAATCCTATAATTGCACAAAAAATGGCACTGCGCACACCCTTGACTTTATCTATATACACATCGACCTATTTTCACTTAAAGAGTAAAAGAAAATTGACAAAAATCCAATTGTTTTTACCCTTGTAAAAAGCGGCAAACAAATAAGTGAGCGATTCTGCACTTTACCGAGAATATTTTCAAAGAAAAGGCATCATTCATTATAGAAAATTACATTTGAACAACCAACGAGGTGAAATTATGCTTTAGTGATAAGTCGGTAGCGGAATAGCGATGCAGGCATCCATTCAAATCTGTTTAGCAATTTTAATATAAATTATATTAATGATCAGAAATAGTTATTTACTCTTATGCTTCCATTCAGTCATGTTTAGCCTTTTTTCATATAAACTTTAATAATAAAAAAGTATTATATGAAATTAACCTTTCATCTAAATTAAAATATCAATTTTAGATAGTTATTTACTATTATACTTCCTTTCTTGCCGCAATTATTTATGGCAGCATTGGCATCAACAATAGTTTGGCGATTTTTTACGGCCCTCGAAACCGAATAGTACCAATTATGGCATAGGACATAGGAATCTGAAGTTTAAAAAAAGAAGTCAATGCATTTAGTAGCCAAATCAAAATGCTCATCAAGAAATACAAATATGAAACATAGAAAGGCAAATTTTTGATCTTAACATGACTGATGCTTGCTATGAAAATATCTGAAAAGTTAAAAAAACTAGACTACTCGAACGATCAATTCACCCAATTTCACTGCATCCTTTCTTGATGAGAGGTACAGGTCTTTGCCGACTACCTCAATAAATAAATAAGAAATAAAAAAAATTATGCCCAAAGAATTGTCGACTTATTCCTATTTTATTGAGGTAGTTAATGACTTGATAGAAAGCTGAAAGCATTCATCCGCAACAATTAACTTTACTGATCTCACCTCCTTAAAGAACTAGAGAACATTGAAAGATTAGCATAAAAAAATCTCCTGGACTCAAATCGATTACCAATTTCATGGTAAAAAATTTACCTAGAAATACTATAAGTAACTTTAATGCACGTATTACAAATATATTTCTTGCAATCTTGGAAGTGTACGAAAATCTCCTTTTTACAAAAGTCAAGGAAAGACACTACCAGAATGAACGGATATAGAGCTATTAATCTAATCTCAGGACTCAGCATGTTACTTAAGAAAATTATCCTTCAGCGACTTCAGGCTTTTATGCATCTTCTTCCAGAGAAGCCATAAGAATTTATCAGTGCTGAAAGTGATCCATATAATGATGTATCAGTGATCCATATAATGGAGGTCGCCAGAACTACGCAACAATGCAGTATTCCTTAAGTTAGATGTGGCAACTGTGTCTGCAAGCTCATGAAATTTGAAAGTACATGAAAAATTTTTTTGCTTAAAAATTTATTCATCTCAAACTGCACTTTTATCCTTTCATAAGTTAATGCTGTATCCAGCATTAGAAAAATTGTCTTGTTATTTTAGCTGACAAGGACAGCTAGGTTGCCGTCCTGAATAAAGAACAATATACAAATAGTGTCAGTAAACAGCTTGAAGAGGGGCTTTACAAAATTCTAAAAACAAATCTAGATTCACCTGATAAATATTTTACCAAAAATCAAATCCATCATCAATTCGTGCTCACTTGGACAATTATACTAAAAGAAAACTTAATCACAAAATCTTCCAGATCAGACTCCACAAAGTGTATAAGTTGATTTTTTCCACTCCAAGTTCAGCACAGTGATTCATTTCCATGTGCAAATTATCTTTCAGTGGCTTATTTATTGCATTATAAAGCATCTGGAAATAGGCAGTCGTCCCTGTGGGAATCATTATTTTATGTTTTTCTTCCTAAAAGGAAATATTTCATGTCTTTAGTAAAATGAGTACTGGTTAAACCCTAGACTAGCAGACCTCTTTGGTCCCTATAAAATTTAAACAGGCCCTGTGACTAAGGGCTGGAAGAACCCAGCATTCATTGGATCACTGGAAGACAGGTATAAATCCTGTTTCTCATAAGAAATCTTACTACACAATAAGAAATATGAGCTGTAATTAAGGATTTGCAATATTTAGCCTCAACAACATGCAACTTAAATTTCCAACACATTAAGAGAACTCTTGTGACAGAAGCCAAGAAAATGGATAGCATGCAAGTTAAAGTTTAATTGTTAATAAAAATTAAAGTAAACACCAAGAGCCATAATATACATTTGTATTACTTAATTATGAAAAACAAATGTCTAAATTTGCAATTTGAGACTGACAGTAGTATTATATAATCTGATTAAATAAAAACTGACATAAAGCAATCAAAAATTTAATCTAAAGTGAATTCCCAATCTGATATCATGAATTTTACACATTCTATTATTTCGTTTGGTTAGAATATTTACTGGCTGGAGAGAATTTCTAAACTAATCTACTTACATAGCATAAAAAATGGATGTTTACAAAAAAAATTACCACGAAGCTTTCTCAATGCAATTAAACGCCTAAGATCTTTGAAAAAATTTAAACACAATGCTTAAATCAATTCTGATTTCATATCTTGCTATCAATGCAACAATTAGAAATCAATCCATCTTCAATTTCAAGTCTTGCTGTATACTCATTCCTTTTTATACAAGCCACTAGAAAATATTCAAAACTGTTGTATTAGCTTATAATGAATAGCAGCTAAGCCTGTAACTTTTAGCATATACAGTTAGGAGCATTTTGTGTGAATCAAATTTTATATTAAGAATTAGCATGCAAGATCTCTTGTATAATTTTTTAATAAAGAATATTACTTGATTAGCATTAATTTACTGATTGAATGAAAACTAATGAAATCCTCTTTATTGAAAGCAACATAATGCAGTTCATAATGAAATGAACTAAATTAAATAAAGGAAACTAATGAAATCATCTTTATTGAAAGCAACACAATTTAGTTCCTAATAGACAGAAATTTTTTAGTTCTGGGATTGAATAGGTACAATCATACTAACTGCTTAACCATGCAAATTTAAGTGTTAAAACTTCAAATTTTAAGACAGATAATACTCATGAAACTAGTGTTAAAATCAAGAATGCAAAAGAAACTGAAGTAGCGATAAGAATATATGAATCTAGATGCAAGTATATATTACTGAGACTGAAGTAGCAATAAGAATATATAAATCTAGATGCAAGTAGCTATTATTAAGGTAAATCCTAATTCTGATAATATCTTTGCCATTAAAATTATTTTTCCATGAAGCTGCAGTTACTTTATCAATGCAGTGAAATCAGATATGACGAGAAAATTTTTATCCTATGTTCTGATATTCTAGTAAGAAAATTCTCTTAATAATGAGTGGCAAATGAAATTGTTTTCTCCGTCTTTTTTAGCCAGCTTCTTTAAAAAACAAACCAAATAACTTTTGATGATAAAATTACATTACTTCCAGGTGTACTCAATACTGTGCCTCCCCTCTAATTCTGTAAGAATAAAATAATTAATTTAATGCTAGTATTTCTTCCACTAGCTTGTTGTTTTCTCATTGTTCATATACTATTTTTATTCCTTTAAAAGAGCTTTCAGGTAACAGAGAAAAAGTCATATAATTATTTACTATTATCAAAAGTAGTTAAAAGAAGATAAATCCAAAATTAGATTCAGTATTTATTTACAAAACATTTATGAGCACATTCATAAAATAATAAGATCCACACATCTGCAAAGAAATTCATTTATATTTACAGAAAAAATTGCTAATCACTAAAGAACTTCACAAATAAATATTACACTTTGCTGCTTCATAATACTGCACATAAAAACGGCAAATATGTAAAATGCCCATACAAATATATCATCAAATGAAAAATGGATACATTTACACTGCATATGTAATGAGAAAAAGTACATAACACAGACTTCTGTACATTTATATATACAAAGTCAATTCTTTTATATAAGCCAGTATATCTTATTTTAAAAATGACAAAGACTTTGCTTCAAATTTCAATTGTGTAATACAGTTGAATCAGGAGCATAAATGCTTTTTGACACTGTTACAAGATGAAACAGCAAACACTTTAAAAAACTAATGCGTATAATGTATTAGAATATAAAATCTTTTTAAACTCATAGAGAAAATGTGTAAGACTTCAAAAACTTATGTATCACAAAATATAAATAATGCGGTTTATAAAACATGGCTTTTAAACCACCAATAAATATTTACAAAATGAATCAGATTATGTAAATGGAATCAAAGACAATATGATATTAAAAGCATGCTTGATTATAAGTCATAAACAACAAATTCTGAATTCAATAATTCTTTTTAAACACTTCTAAAAAATGAGAATAAATGCAGTATATAACATAGCAAAAGTATTGTCTTTAAGGATAGGTTGTTCTTAATTTTATAAATAATACTAATATCTAACATTTGCTCTGACATTTCATAACCACATTCTAAGCTACACATATTTCCTCTTGCAAATTTAAAAATGAGATGCCTTTGCGAAAGACGAACAACAGAAACAGTTTTAAAGTAAATGTATCTGATACTAAAATAAAATACACATACAGCATCTAATACCCAAATGAAATATGACTGCATGTATATAAAATGCATTCAGGCTTAGGAGAAAAATGTAGTTTTCTACCAGAGTCATTTTTTTTTTAAATATACCTAAATAGTCATGCTTATATGCTATATGTTTGACTAATTATTCCATAAATTTTTATAAGCAAAACACCTTGCACACAAAAAAATGAGTAGCTTGATTGGGGGGGGGGAAGAAGACGACAACAATTTGATAGATGTATATAATACAAAACAACATTTAAATTATGAGAAAGACAAAAAGTTCAAAAAAATTATATGTCCTGTCCAGAAATATGCTTTTATTTCTGTCAAAATATTAAATAAATACTCTTTTTCAGTACATTTTCAAATAGGATTTATATTGAGACTGGAATTAGATCCATGCAGTCTTTATATCACTACTCAACATACAAGCAAAAATATACAGATGAATATAAAAAACCTGCTTAGGTTATGAAACAGACAACTGCAATATTCTAAACATTCATTAAATCTACTTTGTAACTATGTAGCGTCCTATATTTAAATTCCTAAATGTAATTCAAACCACATCAGTTTCAAATACATCCTAAGATTTCTAATTTTGCAATGTGGCATGGGAAATGTACATATCATACCACTTGCATAGGCATATAAATAAAATAAACATAATTTAATTTGTAAAGCAGACGTACTAAGATAATCATTTTTATAACTTTATAAAAAATTGCTCAAAAGTAATTTACAGATGCAATTATTTTCAATTACATTACCTGTATTAAATAGGAAAACAACAGATGATTGTGCAAAATACATGAATACAACTATTCTTCAAAGTACCAGTTATGACTTACTAATTTGATTGAGAGAGATTTTGGTGGATGGTGTAAAGTTCGGAAGGTATCTTTAAAAAAAAAAAGAAAGAAAAACTTTTAATGCAACTCTTCCTTTTAATTATACATTTATCTATAATTAAAAATTAGTTTTTAATTATCAATTAACTATTAATATATCCATTTATAAATACTTCTACATTACATTTTTTACTAGATATTTCTTTCTTTTTTAAAGAACAATTACATGTATATGTGTGATAATGCTTTTAGGTGTGGGAAAAACAGCTTTTATGTATTACAAAACATACTTCTGAATAAACTAATGACATTAAAACTATTCTCATTTATATTTTAAAATAAATTATTCGAATAATACTAATGGACATGTGATAAGAATCATAAAATAAAAAGGATGTTGAAAATTATTCACACCTTGTAAAATATATGACATCTTTGCAGAATACTGAAGTCAATGCTAAAAGAAATTAATGACCAGACTTCCATATATAAACACACTGTAAAAAGCTATTTGTAATACAAAATGTTATAGTAACATTAAAATGAAATGTAAAGTAATTTGTTACAAAATGTCATTAGGAATGGGTGTAATAAAGCAATGAAGCAAAGCTTCACAAGATAATCAGTGCTGCAATTCAATTAGCAAAGGACTAAAAGTGTCCTGTAAAGGAAAAATATCACACTTGAACACTAAGATTTACTTCAGTGAGAACAGTAACAACCTCTGAAAATGAGGGACGGTCACTGGGATTTTCAGACCAGCATTTGTTTAAAAGTTTGACTAGGACTTCTGGAGCATCTTTTGGCATACACAGTTTTAATTCACCTCCTTGAAGTTTCTGCATCACGTCTTCATTTGACATTTCTAGATATGGTAATTCGGCTTTATAAAAAATTTCCCAAACAAGGACAGCAAAAGACCATACATCACTTTTTACAGACCAGGTGTCTGCAATCACTGCCTCAGCAGGAGCCCAACGCAGTGGAACAATCCTGGATTCACAATGATAATATTCTTGAGAGTAGGTGTCCAATGATAAACATGGGCAACTGATTTTAATTTTTAAATTTGATGATACTAGGCAATTTCGAGCAGCTAAATCTTTATGCACTAACTGTTGTTTAGTGATATATTCCATCCCTAGAGCAATTTGCTGGCAAATCATCAGATTCTGAGAGACTGACAGAGGTGATTGCTTAGGACCTTTTGATGCATCATCAGGTCCAGTAGCTAATAAAAACTGCTTTAAGTCTCCCTATGAAAATAAGAAGAAAAAATAATGAATAAATTAATGTATTAAAAAAAAAGAGCAGAGAGAAAATACTAAGGCATAGGTTTATACTCATTCATTTTAATTCAGTTAGGAGCAATTGGAAGTTAACACAACATGTATATGCCACATATTCATGAAAATAAAATTTCCAAGTATGGTGAACTAACCCAGTCAGTATAATCCATAATCATGTAATGCGGATCAGCTTCTTGACACACACGAAGTACAGTTCCAACATTTTCATGCTTCAGTTTAATGTACATACTTATTTCTTTTTTGAATTCAGCAATAAGACGTTCATTTTTAGATTCCAATGATTTTACCATGACTACAGTTTCAGTATTTTCTTCTAATATGCCAACAGCTTTGGCAAGAAAGACTTCTCCATATTCACCATGGCCTGGAAAAATAAAAATAAAAAAAAGCAAAATTTAAGGAAACAGTTTTTAGAGAAAGGACTTCTTAGATACATAAAGAAAATTTTAACATACATTTTTAAAGAGATGTTCTTATAAATGAGCAGTTAAAAAAGAAATCTTTTATCATTAATCTTTAATTATTTTATTTAATTTTATTTCTATGACTATGTTGCATCTTCTCTTATTATAATCATAAGAAGGTATTACATAACAAATTTAAAAAAAATCAGATTAAACAAAAATATGTACAAATATTAGAGGCAGGCCAGCAGCTATGAGTCAATCGTTATTGAGTAAACTACTTACACAGAAATTGCCAGGGAGTTCAAACATCTACAAAATATCTATTCTTTACCATTTGTAGACTTAACTAGTGTTGAAGCATTGCACTCTTAAAATATGTCAACAATCTTAAATTAAAAAAAAAAAAAAAAAATCTACTACCAGAAAAGACTATTAGCAAATCATATCTCATAGCTACCACAGATGTTATCTTTATACAAGATATATCTCTGAGTTTTTTTCACATACAAATATTGTGAAAAATTAAGAACACACCAAAAAGAATGAATGTAAAATATAAATCCCAAAGCTGTCTTAGTAATATTTAAGCCCAAGAAAAACCTTGAAGAGAGACAGTTTAAAGGATTAACAATCATATATAATAGGCATCTAATAAAGGCAGGATTAATAATCATCTATAAGCAAAGATTTTCACAACCTCCCGAAAAGCTATGTCTCCAGAAAACAGAGCCTAGAAGCATACATATACTTATCAAACTTTCTAGGTTGATTCCATGTTAATGAACAACAATGGCCTTCTGCATATTAGGAAGACCATTTCTCACAATATAAAATAGAGATGTATCAGTCAGGTAGTTAGAATCATACCATTGCTTGGGATATCTTAATACGATAGACTATTGATATAATGGACCAATAATAGGTCCATCAATGCTCCACACAACAAACTTTTCCAATTCCATAAATCATGGTTGATCCTGAAAGTTTCATACCTTCATTTTTACTACAACTTTTCATAACTAAGACAAGTTTCTTTCAAGAATGTTAAGTGACTTATCAACAGCATATCACCTATGACTGCTCACTCTTGATTTTACTCTCATACTTATAAATTATTGCCTTATTCTATCATAAATTATATGACATAAATTGTATTCAAATTCATTGTACAGCTTTATTTTTATTTAGTTTTGTTGCTCAGTTTTCAGTCAGCAATATTACTAAATCACATCAAATAAAATTATATAAACTAAACAACTCAAATTCATAACAATCATTTCAAGAAAATCAAAAAGACATGAGACAAACTAGCTTCATTTGGACTGACATATCACATATGCTAAATGATCCAGGGACACATGTAGTCATCAAGAATTCAGATTTTGTGAGGCAGTGGTGACCATGGTGTCATTCTATCACCTGATACTAAGAGTTTGAAAACCTATGAAGTATTAATCATAATTGTAGAATTAATGAAAAATTAAACAATAAACTAATTGGCAAAAAAAATGGATACAAAGGCCTTATACAGTGATAATGAATTAATTAAGTGATAATATATTAAACTCATTATCTTAAACTCACTGTTGTTAACTCATTACAAATTCATAACTGTTGCCCAAAATTTGTTACTCCACTACATAAATATAGGAATACTCCATATCTCCTTCATATTGGCTGTGGGCACTTTATGCCCCAATACTCTTGCATTTAGGAAAACCGTGGCAGACATGTGTAAAGGTACTGCCACATAAAATGAGAGCATTATTATGCAGCCAATAACATTCAAATACTATTCATCTCAAAGGGGGTCAGGCAGCTAAGCTTTCGGGCAGAATTTCATTTTCCCCTCAGAGACATGTTTCATCTTCTATCTTATAGGGGATAACCCATGTCTTTCATAGATGGAATTAGACAGCAATAAAATGTTCTGCTAAACCACAGCTAACAATACTATTATTTCAAGGACAATCTGAAGGAACAGAGATATAAGATTTCATTTTCAAAATTAATGCAAGACAAAATAAATCTTCACCTGTACTTTTAATTCTGAAAACTTATTCTAAATATAAGAAGCATCCTATATATAGTTAAATACAGTATATCTTTAATTGAATACTACAAGTATCTTCAAAGTATCAAACTTTAAGCTTCATTGAGCTAGTTCCTTGTGCCGGTGAGACCAACTCTACCCATCTCTAAAGTAATCCAATCAAATTTTAAATATATTTTTAAATATCTTTAAATAACTACACTGTGACTTGCAGATACTATAGCTACATTCAGCATTCCCAAAACAATTTGTGCATTAAACCAAAATACAGGCATCATTAAATTTTTTTTTTTTTTTTTCCATTTTACTTACCTAGTAGCATCACAACAGACAGCTTATCTCGAGGATAGTGATATTTCTTCAAACTCAAATTTTTCATAAGTTCTGAATTTTCTTCACAAGTTGTTACATCATTACAATGAATCTTTTGAGCAGTTCTGTCCTTTAGTTCCATATCATGCATAGTTTCACTGTTTTCTGCAGTTTCACATTTTGCAACTAAATTATAACATATAAATTTAAACATGTGAGTTAAAATATTCTCTTGCAACTACTTACACTATTGCATAGTACAGATTTCCAAAATAAATAATGGAAAGTGTTTTTTAAGGCATAGATGCTACAAACACCTAACACAATTAAGGGCAAAGAATGATACATTTCTAAAACATGTAACTACAGCACAATCAAAGGTGCTTTCAGAATACATAACATGCTTTTATTCTGAATACCTATTCTGTAAATAAATAAATAAAAATTTATTTACAGAATGTAGGGTACTGTTTATATATGACAATATTAAAATTACCATATGAACAATAGGGTAAGAACTGTTTATATATGACAATATTAAAATTGTCATATGAATAGAGTAAGAACTGTTTATATGACAATTTTAATTACAGCGAGAGATCTTGAAGTATTATAGTATAGAGAACAGACCAAAATTGTAACAGTGAATATTACAATATCAGTATGGTAGTCATCAATACTTTGTTTCATAACATATAATAGTAGCCAACAGCATGATATAATGCTGGCAAATACATAAAACAATACAAAAATAGCTGATACTTCCTGAGCACATATGCTATAATATTTTTCAATAAATCTAAACTCAAACTGACTACTTTAAATTTCTCTGCACAAAGCACCTGCTTAACATTTTGTACACCATTATATCAAATTAATATGAAATGCATTTTCAGAAAACTATGTAATGTAGCCAAAAATACTTCTCTATTTAATGTGTTTTTCAATTAAAAAAGTTTTACTTTGAAAGGAATTACTACAGCTAGGGCCCAGGCCAAAAATGGTTTAAACAGCCCTTCCCTGGATGGAATTTTTAAACAAAGTAGAAATCACTGAGCAAATTACATTTCATGTAAAGTGCACTTTGTACGAAATAATTCATGAAAATCCTTATAATTCAAAATTTTTTGTTATAAGTTGAATAGAATTTACTTAAGTTAAATTTTCCACTCGTCTCTGCAACAGTTTGCTTTTCTTTAACATTATTCTAGTGTTTGCAATACTTTATTTTAATCCATTCAAAGTAGATTGGATTGAGCAAGGTATTGTATTTGTACACATTCATAACTATGCTTTGCACACAATGACAACTTGGTTGAACATCTGATTTTATATTCTGTTTTTTTAAATACATGAAAATTTTTATACATAAAAAACTAAATTCTGAAATTTAATGTTTTATTTCTGCTTCTAATTTCATACTTTTAATTAAAATTAAACTAAAGTTAGAACATAAAATTTTACATATTTTAAATGAAGATAGAATGAAACAGAAGAATGGAGATGCATTGAAAGTGCAGGTCTGGAGTGCATTCCCTATATGTACTCGAAACTGCAGGAAGAAAATATACAGTCAACTTGAGTACAGTTACAGTGAAAGTATAGGATACAAGGAGAAAAAACAGCATATATATCAGGCATATTTAAACTTCAGAAAACTCTTAAAAGTTAACTTTCCTTTTTTGAAGTATTATGGAAATACATTGGTTCAATAAATGAAACATTAAAAAAAAATCTTGTGATATATATTAAACAATAGCCATTCTTATTTGAAAAATATAATTATCTTTTATAGAAAACTTTTCAGTGGTTTAGAATGCCTTGCAGAGAGTATTTTGTAATTCTCACACTTCACTAACATTCAACACTCAGTCATCAAAATTTTTTATGGATTTTGTTTGCTTTGAAGAATTCTAGACTAGTACAGCAGTGAACCCAGAATACTTTTGAATTATGTGATTATAATGTTGGATTTAAAGTGATCTGTTCTTGTTTTCTGGATGTTGTGTTTATTCACTGCCTGGGTAAAATTTTGAGAAAAACATCTGTAAATATGGACAACTAGCTGTTTGCTTGGTTACAGTGATTGCCCGTCATGGGGCCAAATTCTCATTGATTAACCAAGCCATTACATTTCTTCCATGAGATATCATCAAATAGTTTAACTACATATAAAACTATATAAACAATACATCTAAACATTGAAAAAGTAATTAAAATAAGAGCAGTTTTGATGTAACTTTAGAACTGAAACATTTGCCACTACAGTTTTAAGGTGAATGATACAAAAGTAAAATTGAAGAAGTAAATTGATTACATTGTGAAATGTAAAGATGATTTTAGAATTTTCACTTCATTTCCTTCATTTCATGAAGCACATGCTGTTTCTCACTGCCCACATAGTAGTTCAGCTGGAGAATGATGCAATTTAAATCTATACACATATATATTTCTTAAATGATAGGTTGTACAATTAAGATGGATGGTAATTTTCAGAAAGGCCTTTTAAGTAAAAAATAAGCATTCTTACAGTAGGGATAGTAATGTGTCATAAGCTGCGTTCAGACGGTGGTATAAATGTCATAGAGGTTTAGTCATAAGGCATAAAATGCAGAAGTTCCGTTCATACCTGCGAGACGGTATAAGCCATGGCCAGTTAGAAAGGCTAAATTTTGTGTATGCTTGGATTGTGTCTACACATGTCCCGCTCTGTTTTCCCATAAAGGTTTCACACATTCACTCTGATTGGTCAACTCTTATATTAAGTTGGAAACTTCAAACTTTATGCCGAAGCCCCTAAACCAGTTTTTGTGACATAGCAAGGTTTAGTTACCTAGCAACGAAGCTCGGCTTAAACCAGTTATGACATTTATACCCTCGTCTGAACGAAGCAATACAGGTAAAAAAAATGTGCTTGTCCAGTTACCCATATTGTCACTTAGTCATAATATTTTCCTGGATACATGTAAAACCGATATGATGTCTACAAATGTGAACTGCAACAAACAATTTTTGGAGAAATGCAAGAGGCATCTGTTTCTGGAAAAATGTTATCATAGAAAGAGTCTGAGCAGCACATTTCTAGCCAAAATTATTTATGATGATAGAGGAAACACGAGTTCAATGCTGCATTTTGCTTAGCTCAGTGAAACAGATAAAAAAAAAGTTTCTTAAAACAGATGTTATATTTGATGAGGTGTTCAAAGAATTTGTTCTCGCTATGTCAGCAACTTTTAAGTTATCTCCTTACTATGATTCACAATACCTGTAACATTATGAATGATTCCTGGACACCCTTAACTCCAAAGTTAGCAAAATTCAATTTTTCCTACTTAAAAGGTTTTAAAGGGAATTTTACTAGTCCAACTATGACGAAATCTGATGAATAAACACTTCAGATGATATTTTCCTCATTAATTAAATATTCAAAATTAGTCAAAAAATTCAAAAAGTAATCAAATTTTATAAACTAAGGCTACTGACACTGTATGCAAATACTTATCAGATAAAAGGAAGTTATGCTGTGCATCATACATAACCTATTTGCATCTAATGTGCAAGAAACATTGCAAGAAAAAGCTTTGATACAGAAGATGTTCTACTAGCACCAACAGAATGCTCCTACAACTCCTAGAAAGTTCCATCATCAGAACTTATAATGAAAACCAATGTCTCCACATGCTCTATGCAATATGATGTAAATATCTAAAAACCAAACAGTTTGGCATCTTGGCAATTACAGGAAAGAAAATGACTGTTCATGTGGAAGATGTAGCTATAGGGGCCTTGGAACATCAATTACCATATGGTAATGAAAGTCTGCTAGCTGTTGTCTGTGGTGTGGATACGATAAGTCAAGTGAGAGATTTTGAATTATTATTTGTATGTGTTTTCAAAACTGTAGCACTGGGGTGCACAGATTCACATAAAACTTGCACTTCAGCTTCTAGCCTAAATGGCAGGTAATGTTTTGGCTGCGATAAATTTGATAGACTGAGTAAACACACTAAGGTAAATAAATACCCACAGCTCTTTGTACTTCGTAAATGAATAACCATCATGCAATCCAGGGAAAATGCTTACCCTCTGAAAAAATGTGGTTTTAGTGATGTGGTTTTAGTGTAGTGTTCATCATCGAAAAATATGTTTTAAAGAAATAGGTGTAAAAGGAATACAAATGATTCAATGATATCATAACATGTTAGAACTCTGACATGCCGGATGTCTCCAGGGCACTATATTCAAGCTAGATGGCCCACTTACATTGCTTGTTCTGTCAACTAACACACAACTTACTCTGTCACACTTTCACAGATACATCCCCCCGGGGGTCGACGTAGAGAACTCTGCGTCTGTGGCTAGGATCTGTACCTAGGCAGTCTCGGCCACGGAGGTATAAAATTTATGAACTTGGCGGTTCCCGATGGTCCATGGGGTAAGTCTATACTTGCTCTTCATGGGCCGGGAGGTGTAAGTCCCTTCCACCAGGGTATTGGTAGCCAAATAGCAAACTGGGCCATTGAGCGTCTTGTCACTGCTGTCCTTGGTATTCCATGTAAAAGCCTAAGGAGAGGGGCATCCCGTGTAGTGCTGGCAGGTAGCCCAATTTAACGGCCGGTCATCAACCCTAAGTTGTCATCGCCCACCCCGCCGTGGTCTCGGCCCAGCCGGGACGGTGGTCTTGACTGGGTCGTGTTTAGCGGTGGGCTCGATGATCGTTGAGCGATCATCAGAGGGTTCGTTAAATTTGTTGGTGTCTCGGGGGTGTGGGACCCTGGGCACAGCAAGCGAGTTCTTGCCACCCATAAGGTGGATTTCTGACTGATTTTATCAGTCCCTGTAGTGCCATTAAGTTAGCGAAGCAGGTATAAAATTTAGGTTACCAGCTGTTATTTCAAAACAGATTGGACTTCTAATTTCTCTACTATCTATTCCAGTGATTTCTGGTAACCAAATCCCTTGCAGAATCATATCTACTGTGAAAGCTGTGCATGTCCATCAGATCTGAAGGACAGTACTTATCAGCATGCTCTTGTGATTAAAGACTTACAATGTTCAGCAGTGGAAAACAGTTTTCAGAATGGAGAACAACAATGAAAACTTTAACACAAAAAAATTATCAATGAATGGCACTATATGCAAATCCCACTACAAATGTTTAAATGGAGTCAAATTAAACATCTGTACAGTGGTCTGCATAGTTATGGCACCATTTATTGATATTTTTGGATTTTTTTAAATAAATCGTGAGTGAGTTATCTGAAGTGCGTATAATTTGGATTTCATCCATTTCTATCAGATTTTCAATTTAGCACTTTGAAGGGTCTTAAGAAGGGAAAGTTTGTTTGCTAACCGTACATTTATTTACAATTGAAAGCATTTTCTTCCCTTTTGATGTGCACAAGAGTATTACAGAGAGGATGTTGCATTCATAAATTACATACCAACAGTAATGGAATGAGATGAAGTGCATCTGAAATGCTTATAATTTCTAATTCCATCATTTTTTCTATCAGATTTCAAATTTAGGGCTTTGAAGGGTAATAAGTAAGGAAAGTTTGTTTGCTAACCCTATATTTATTTACAACCGAAAGCATTCTCTTCCCTTTTGATGTACAGAAGAGTTTTGATGTACATACGAAGGATGTTGCATTCATAAATTACATACCAACAGTAATGAAGTGCAGGATTAATAAATTTATATTTACTCTTTGTATAATATGTATGCAGTTACTAATTAAATTATATTTCAAAACTTAGTTTTACCATCGGCAGTTGCCTGGGCAAGCATTACAGCCTTACGTCTAGCTCTACGATAACGACACCACATCATCAGGCCAACCACAAGAATTATATAAACCCCAGCAGCTCCCAGTGTAATAGCAACAGTCTTGGTCATTGTATTCTCTCCATCATTTCCAAAATCACGGCCAATTCTGTTGGTATTAAATTCTCGTGCTGTTTCAAGAAAAAGAAATCAACATATATATTCAGCATAAATGTAATATATATATACATGAAAAAAAATCTAGCATCGCCTGTTAATAATATGCAGTCTTAAAAGTAACTAACTTATTGCTTTACCTGAAATCTGTCAGTAATTTGCAGTTTTACTTTCTCAGTTATTTTATAATGCTTTTTAATATAACTAATATTCTCACCCCAAAATTTTAAAAACAACACTAAAATAGCATATTTATTTGAAATAAATCTTCGATTGTTTTACTATAATTCTTCAGCCCAAAATAGGAGCACATAATTTAAATGAACAAAGAATTCAGATGTTAACTTATCACAATTTAATGTCTTGATGACATAAAGCTAGTATAAAAATAATGGTATAATGGTATTAACTTATGTGGTGTCCCTTTGTTTCAGGTATTTTCTGTGTATAATATTAATACTGCATGTGCATCATTTCTAACCTGACACTATGTGATTCTGAGTTGTCTAAGTGTACACTATCCTTCTTACAATTTTATCCTAGTACTGAGATACCCTATATATAAAGCTCATGAAAATTAAGATAAAATGCAAAAGTACTACTGTTTTGAAAGAGTGGTGAAGCAGTGGTGTAGCGAGCATAGCTGGCATCTGGGGCAAAATACCTTTTTTTTTGGTGCCCCCCCCAAAATACTTACAGTACTATAATGTATAGAATATATTAGTAATAAGAAAATAATGCAAATAATAATAAAATGCTGAATTTGCTATAAAATACTCTAAAATATATTAAGAATAGTCACTATCTAACTACACTAGCATTGGACGGAAATGTATCTGTGTCGGCGGAAAAATCAGACATACGATGATCTAGAATTAGTTACAAAGGTATTTATTTTACATATTTATATAATTGTTTTTAAAAAGGTACAATTTTCAAACAATTAAAAGTTTAATACATATTATACATAAGTAGATACATTTATTAATAATAATATAACATTATAATACATTAATACAATTAATTACTATGTATACATTTTTCTCGCCTTGGATGTAGTAAATTTATCAATTACTTCATCAAAGTCAATCATTTCAAATTTTTCTCTTTTCACATTTAAAAATGCTAGATGACTTAGGGATCTTGTCCCATCGTTGATTGTAAATATGTCAAAATTTATTTTAATTTGCTGAACAAACGTTCATAGCTAGCATTCAAGCGTAATGTCAACATAAAAGGTTACCATGCTGTTTCTCAGTAACTAATATTAAAAAATAAAATAATAAAAAAATAAATAAATAAATAAAAATAAAAGTTTAGGTGAGTCATTACTCAAGTTGTCATGTGTTGATAAACATGAGGTGATAAAAGCAAAGTATAATAAATAATGATTCGCCAGGTTGGCGACAGGGGTATAAAATATTAGTAGGTGTAAAATCAATGATGTATCTGTAGAAACAATCATCTGCTAAAATGATTGTTTCTTCAATAACGAGGTATTTTATTTAGTGCTGGAGTGAAATTAAGAATCAATGCCATTGATGTGAAGTATGACAAAATTTAATTTTTTTTTTTTTTTTTTTTTTTTTTTTTGTATAAACTGAAAATAATGAAAAAATTATTTTCTCATAGACCCATAAGCAGGCTCCCATATGGGTAATCATGACTACAGTACAAAGTCCCAGATCCGGACTCGTCAGGACTTCTGCTATTCCAAATTTGGAATTTTTCCAGATATTAGACCATCATTTTAAATCTAGTAAGATGTCATGTAAAAATAATAAAATTAAAAACATGAAATCATGATTTATGAAATAATGAAGCATTTATGATCTAAAGGAATCAAAATTTATCAAAAAAAGCTTACTATTTATTATTTTACTCCATTAAATATTTCTTTCAAGTTGTTTAACTTGTTTCACTTTTTGTATTAATACTTTCTCTTTAATTCTATAGACAGACATAATTTCTTATTCAGTTACGAAATTCTATTGTTGAAGTCCTGTAATTGTTGTATCTAGAATTCTGACTAACTTGTCAATCAAAATTTTTTCGTCTCTCTGTCTGTAACAGTATTTTCTGGATCTAGAATCATACTACAGATTTCGCCATCCGGTAATTGATTGATGATTGAGGAGCATTGTCATCACAGTGAAAAACTTCTTTTATATCCTCTTCATTTATTACCACTTCTCCACATTTCTTTACAAAATCTGTTAATTGGAAAATTTCACCTTTGGTTTGCAATATCCCAAAACCTTCAGATTCACGGCTATCATCATAAAAGTTAGCTATTGTTCACTATACATACTTGGCTATGTATTATGAGACTGGCGACTAAACACAAGCTGTTTCGCTAAATTTCATCTTGCTTCTATCACACACTGAGACAGTTAAGCCTGAATTGTATTAGTTTAATTATTTATAATACTTACACCTATTTCTTGCACATGCATAACGTTCCTATGAGTCCTGAATAAATAAATTCCCACATATACTTAAGGCTCATTGAGGGCCGGCACCTGATGCAGTTTCTGTGACTCCTAAATTCGCAATGCTACTAAGCGCTTCCCTTTGTCTTCCCTAAATTCTGCTGCCATACGAACTGTGGTGCTGATTCTGGGTTTATATGAATAACAAATCAGTTATTCTTAATTTAAATAGCACTAAATGTAATCTTTTGGCGGTACAATTCCATTTTGAGGACCGTAACAAATCACCAAACTATTGTTGATGCCAATGCTACCAAAAATAATTATGGCAACCCTAACGCAAGAAAGGAAGCATAATAGTAAATAACTATCTAAGATTATTGTTTTAACGTAGATGAAAAGTTAATTTCATATAATACATTTTTATCATAATTTATATAAAAAAGGTTAAACATAATGTAAGCATAATAGTAAATAACTACTTCAGATTATTATTTTAGTTTAGATGAAAGGTTAATGCCATGTCATACAATTTTTTATTATTATAATTTATGCATAAAAAATGGTTAAAAATAACTTAATGGATGCACTGTTGAAGGAAAGTCAAACCAATTTTGACTTCTTAATCCCTTCTTCTCATTACACATTTTTTTCCTGCACTGCCATTTTGCTAGAGTTATAACTAAAGCATAATTTCATCTCATGGTTGTTCAAACATAATTTTCTATCATGAATGATACCTTTTCTTTGAAAAAATTCTATTGCAGACTTTTCGTCACTGGACAATTCCCAAATTGTTAAATCCACAGTGTTATAAAAAAGAATTAAAAAATTAAACTAGTATTTCAATGGCACTTACAAATATAGAACTACCTATACTTACGCAATTTGAAATCAGCACGTTTGCTACATTTGGCACGCTGTTAAATGGGCACATTTGCTAGACTTGGCATTTTTGCGCATACGTTTTCACTGCAATTTTTTTACGCTCCCCAAAAGGGAATTGTTCAATTTTGGCGTATGAGTATTATTAACAAAATCTACTTTTAGCATATGGAAAGAAATTTTTGTTATATTTTCCCCGTCAATATTTCTTAGAGCATTTAACTTAAATCTGTAATCGTCGTCAAGCGTAATGTCAACATAAAAGGTTACCATGCTGTTTCTTAGTTACTAATATTTAAAAAAAAAAAAAAAAAAAAAAAAAAAGAGTTTAGGTGAGTCATTACTTAAATTGTCAAGTGTTGATAAACATGAGGTGATGAAAGCAAAGTATAATAAATAATGATTCGCCAGGTTGGCATCAGGGGTATAAAATATTAGTAGGTGTAAAATCAATGATGTATCTGTAGAAACAATCATCTGCTAAAATGATTGTTTCTTCAATAACGAGGTATTTTATTTAGTGCCAGAGTGAAATTAAGAATCAAGTCTCTTCACGTTTTATTGCTCATGCAGGGATCAAATGTGCATGCATACAGCACACACAAAAAAAAACATTTATTTTGTTATAAATTACTATGAACTCCCTGCCAGTTTTGGTTTTATTTTTTAACAAACACAAAGAATTTCTTTTGATCTACATAATTAAAAAAAATGTAAAGTAACTTTTACTAAAAACGTACCTGTGCATAATGGAATAATATTTTAATCATTTAAAACATTCAATTAACAAAACACGTCCATATATTATCTAGAAATAACATTCTAAAAATTTTAACTAATGTATAATAAAAATATCTAAATATTTTTTGTGAAGTCAGTTTTCTCTTAGACTATTTATTACACGAAGCCAAGGAAGAAAAATCATATGCCTTCATATATTTTGCCCACCAGTCGCCAAGTAGCAGAATACTGATAATATGGGCCAGCTTCAAAACCTGGTGAATATGCTGGCTGCATGGTAGTTTTCGTGGTTTTCCCCATTTTTAATGTAAATATATATGGCAGTTTTCTCTTAAAAAGTTCACCACAAAGACATCTCTGCCCAGGCACATAGTTCTCAATGCTTTGCCATAATCCAAATGAAATATACCAAATATATTTAAAATGAAATAAACCAAATATTTGAGCCCTGTCAAAACTTTTTCCTAATGATGCTTAATTATGTTGTTTACCAATTATGCTCTGATAAGGTTCATTTCTCCCTACTTGAATTTTTTAAAAAACTAAACATAAAATTATTTACTGTAGTGAAATCAAACACATCATGAGAATAATTAAGAGAAAAAAGTAATATAAATAACATTTTTTATTTGAATTATTAAAGATATGATTTTATTTCTTTTTCTGATTAAAATATTTGGCAACTTCAGGTCCGCAGTAGCACATTTATTGCATGACAGCATGGATATGTAATAAATGGTCTATTGAGCAAAACATATTCATGTCTTGAATTCAAAGAAGTTTTAAAGAAAGTATCATATAATACATGTAGGAAATGGAACATAAATTTTTAAGAGCTGTAAGGGAATAAGAAATTAATCACTCACAAAATCATACAACTAACAGTATCAAGTCTCAGATACTTTACAAATCAAATATTGAATTTTAGGCTAATCCATAAAACTACCATGACGGTTTTTTCAGATGAAGACATAGCATTTCATTTAATTTTCTTTCTACATTCAATTTCTTTTCATTTTTTGTCCATTAATTTTAATTTTCCTTCCAATAATTCATCTCATAACAATGCATAACACTTTGCTTTTATTAGAGACAGATATCACTTGTAGCAGCAGTTACGTGATTTAAAAAAAAAAAAAAAAAAAAAAAACCTGTTACTTTTATCTCAATTACTAGAGTAATATATTTTTAAAAATGTGAATGTTTGTAGAAGCAAGTACACTTTAGAAAGAGTTGTAGTTTAGATCAGTATATTGCAAAACCATGGCAAATTCATGCAAGCAGTTTCAAAAACTGTAGTATAAAAAGCAGCTAAAAATGAAAATTCAATCACTTTTAATGAATGTGCTTATTAAATTCACAAACACCGAATACTTGAAGTTAGAATTTTGCAGTTTCTGAAAGCATCAATAAGCAAACTTTAATAGCAGCACTTACTAAAGTTTCAAATTTTGATTTATAAAACATAAAATTAGTGTATTCATAAACACTTGATGAATAAAACAAAGTCCATGAACACAAAAACAGAAAAAGTAATAAACTGAATTAAAGGATTACTTATTCTTTTACATATAAATGAAAGGGGTGGCAAAGTGGCTAGCACATCGTGTAACTGTCCAGGATTTGATCCCCGGGCTAGGCAAGGTTGATTCAGCCGTCCACCCCTTGAGTGGATCGTTAAAATGATTACTAAGTTCACTTGGGAACTACACACCAGAGGTGCTACCATTTGCCCAAGGTTTGTCCCTTGCCCAAGGCATATGCTGATGCACACCGGGGCCCAAGGTCAAGAAAGCAGATTTTGGGGCACTGCAGACCGTGGCCCACTAGGGCTGTTATGCCACTGCATTTAGTTTTATATAAATTTTAATATGTGGAAGTAAGAGAAATGATTTTTCATTTTAACTATTTTGAACTGAAAATTAGGTTTTATCATTTAATCATAGATTTTATTTATATTTCCTTTTCTCGTTTAGATACGAAAATTTAAGTATGCATTAACCTGTTCAGGACCAGCATCACGTATACACGATACAATGATTCCACTGCTACCAGCCCAGTGTCCCGTATACGTGACACAATGATTCTGCTCCTACGACCTCAGTGTCGTGTATACGTGACATTAAAACGGAACGATTTATTTGAGTTTTTAAAAGCCAGTAAATGGAGCTAAGTGGTAATTGTTTTCACATAGGTTGATTCATATGGCATTTGACCTTCATGTACTGGCATTAGTTTCTGTTTTGTGCTTCTGGTTTTGAGAGATTTATTGAAATAAACAAACTGGAAGTCACGGCTCAATAAGTACACCTGTGCATTAAAGAGGCACAAGCGTTTTTGTTTATTTCGTTAGGAATTTTCTTTTTGTTTTTTTTCCATTTGTTTTGAAATTTAACATAAGCTTTCTTGGTTAATTAAAAAGTAACATTACAACATTATTACAGAAGGGGAAAGACTATCAGCTTTCTTGACGCATAATGTGTCTTGTTCGCATTTCTCAGGAAAAAGCCAGCGTTTTTGTTTTTCTTACTCGATTTAATAGGTCATTATATATAATGCCTTTAATGGTCATTATATATATAATGACACAGGCATTATATATTTTGGTATATAATGTATTTACTTTACATATAATGTAGTTATATATAATGTGTATATGCCGATATAGGCAAGTGCCCACCATTTGTTAAAAAATAATAACAATAATAATGTGTATATTGACATGATCAGTAACAGCCGCCACTGCGGGTCTTGCCTTGATCACTTTCCGGTCATCATGGACGCTTGCTTTCAATTTAGAAAAACAGGAAGTTTTCTAACATAAACCTGAAGTCACGCAGGGTTTGAGGATGAAATATTTCTGAGTGTCTTTTGAAGAAGTTTTGGGACATGTGTTGGGGTAGTATTCAGTTTCATTCCATTAGCCATGGCTAAGAGACCTTACTTAAAAATTTGTCCAAAATCACCGGACACTCCACCTTTCCATCTAACTGGAAGACAGTTTCCGAAAAGTTACGTTGACAGAAAAGGTAATAAAGGTAAGAGAAGATGCGTTGTGTGCGCTAAAACCAAGGAAAAGCGAAAGCAAACAACACATTTTGAGTGAGAGATACGTAATGTAGGACTGTGTGTCGATCCTTGTTTTGAGTTATTTCACACACAGCAGAATTTTTAAATTGGAATTTAATTACCTACAGGTAGTTCTTGTTTTTTTTTTTTTTTTGTATTTGTAATTTTTTTCCTTCATGTTTATAGTATTTATTTCTGCGTGTATAGCTATGATTTTAGTATTTTGTCTGTTTAATTTGTTTCTATTAATGTGATATTCTTTATATTAATACACATTAAAAATACGTACATTAAATATGCAATTTCAAAAATTGAAGTCATAATATCAAAACGCTGATTTTATATGATTCTTTTTTTGTAAAATTAGGCTTAATTTTACAAAAATTTCTTGACGCATAATGTGTCTTGTTCGCATTTCTCAGGAAAAAGCCAGCGTTTTTGTTTTTCTTACTCGATTTAATAGGTCATTATATATAATGCCTTTAATGGTCATTATATATATAATGACCATTAAAGGCATTATATATAATGACCTATATAAATATAATATATAACCTGCTCAAACCTGCTGAAAATGCAAACCTGCTGAAAATGCGCGAAAAATATATAACCTGCTGAAAATGCGCGAGCCGGTGACGACGATCCATTTCAACGGGTCCGGTCCCGTGACTGTGCTTCATTCTCCCAACGCTGGTCCTTAAGGGGTTAAGTATGTTTAAGTGCTGTCTTCAAGTACTACTGTATCAGTTGCTGCATACTTTATATTACAGCAAAAGTTTTAATTACTATTTCAAGTTGTGGTGTAAAATTTAACACAAGCAACAAAATTAACTTTTCTGATTTTAGATCATAACTCACTAAAAACTCTTAGCTTTTAGCCCTTTGTTGCAAAGCCTGAGTTTTGGTGCAAAATTAATATTTCGGTCTTTCAGAGCTAGATGACATCATATAAATTAAGCCCAATATACAGCACAGTTGCTAAAAGCGAAATGGTTTTGTTAAATACAAAGATAAAAATAATAAGAAACCAATAAATTATTATTTAGATTCAAAAGATTACCTTTCACTGTAAGACTAACTTCATGTCTCCGCAATCCTCCACTGTTACCAGCAGTGCAGCCATATTTTCCTTCATCATCTGCATGAATTTCTGACGCATACAATGATCCATTTTCCAGAACTGTAAAGCGCATTTGATCAAATCCATTGAGTTCATTATTTTTATCCCACTGGATGACTGGGAGAGGATCACCCTCAGCTAAGCAATGCAAAATAACTGATTCTCCTTCATTGGCAACTGTGTCTGATGGCTGGACATTGAACTTTGGCATTACTTCAATAGAAAAAGAAAAATTTAATTGGCACATGCATTTTTGGAAGGAAGATAAACAGTATTCACAAAAGTATAAATAATTATAAATGGCGCTTGGTTAAAAAAATACAATTGAGAATAAATGACAAATTAGCTCCAAGAGCATATCAAATTTTCAGCCATTAATATTTATTCATTATTACACAAGCTCAAATAACGCTTCCACTTTAATTAATTTACTATAGGAATTTTACCCATTACAATTCCAGAATTACTTCAGGCTTTAAACAAACATTATCTTCACTAGGATATGAAGAGAAACTATTTATTTAATTAGAAATTTTGAGTTTTTGTTGACACTTCTAACAAATTAAGAAATAAAAAAGGCTGAGTAATAGAAATGCTATGAATTTGTTTCTATACACAAAATGTATAGAAACAAATTTGTAGCACAATGAATGCCTGTTTACGAAAAAGGACTAAATTAATTTTAAAATAATTTCTCAGTCAGTCACTTGCAGCAATTGAACAAAAATTAACTGTTTTGCAGTAAGTCTGATGAAAACAAATAAGGACTGAATATTCGGACTATGGAAAAGCACATTAGAGCTATTTGTCTAAGGAAATAGATGAGTTCATGCAAAACCTCTTTAATAATAATAATAATAAAATAATAATAATAATATAATAATAATAAAAAGCTGCACGACATGCACGAAACAATTTTTAGAAAGACAAATGCACCAACTTGGTATGCCCAGCAAGAAAACTTTAATAATTAGCTCATTTGGTAGTGATAACACTTTTCTGCATAACAAATACATTTCTTGCTTTTGTAAATCTAATAAACAATGCATAAAAAAATGCATAAACATTTTATTGATAGTACTTTGAAAGTATGAAACACTGTTATAAGAAATATGAACAGCTCATTCTATTTAATGGTGGCCAGTAATGTTGGCACTATCATTCTGTAGAGAATTTATGCATGTCCTATAATGGATATGATTCAAGAAGCCAACTATAGTCGTATCTACATCTGGGATGTTAATCATTGTTACATCTAACATTTCTTTGGTACAGGTAATGTAAGCTAAAGGCAATTTATACTCTTTTCAACATGCATTCCATAGTTTAAAACAAATCGCTTGTGTAAATAGCAACTACGAAACTAACAGTTTAGTATAAACAAATACTGATATTTATCAGTTATTCCAGATCAAATTTTCTCAAAATTGACAACAAGACTGTTTTTGATAATAAAACACCTCCAATGACATTTTGGTAACCCTCAATTGCTTTTTTTTATGTCTAGCTTTTTTGTTTATAAAAGGTCATATAAAAGTGCTTATAATCATTTGTTTTCCCTCTTGATTCATATCAATTTTGCTTACTGCTTTTTCTTCATTTTAACAGCAAAACATTAAATTGTTAATGAAAAGCAAATATATCTCATAGAAACTGCCTTGGACAGATCAACAGATAATGGTTACTTAAATGTTATTAGTGATGCTTTGTCACCAAAAAATTATTGGCAAAAAATGTGAGCTGGGATAACCACCATGCACTCAAATACCTTGAGAGATACCGTATAATTAATATGTAGCAGCCTGAAATTAATTTATGAGGATCAGCTCTAGTGATCATTTATAAGAAAATCTAATCTGAAGTTATGCTTCACTGCTAAAGTGGAAGAAAAATACACACATCTGAAACATCTAACTCATTTTCTTCTTTCTAGAATTAAAAGAGTAGATAATGTTAACAGATTAAATGACATGATACTAGAGAATATATTAGAACTATATTCTGATAGAACTTAATAAAAGAAAATAGGAAAAAAAAAAAAAAAAAAAAAAAAAAAGAGCTATTTCATAATCTTCCAAGAATCTATTGTACTCTTTTCAAAGTTTAATTACAGTAAAAGTCCAAGAAGATAAAAGATATAATTAAATTCACCCAAGGGGGAAAAATATGTGACCCTTTCCAATTAACGATGGTTTCAACTATATTTAGTTACATATATTACAATCATGTTTATTTGGGACAGATGTTTGAGGATAAATATCAGATGAGTACAGTGTTCTCTGTCTTCACTACATATAAAAATTGCTCTGTTACAGGTCTTTGATAATTATAGTGTCCAAGTCATTATTTAAAAGCAGATAAATAGCTTTAATTACATGCTTGCAAAGCAATGCAAAGATTTTTCTTCACCACTTCATCAAAAAGTGAAAACGACATATCAGAGCTTCTGTGTTGGTTTCAAATATAATCAAGAAACATATTCATTTGGAATTATACTTCATGCGGGAAAGCAATGAAGAAAGTACATTTTCTATATTAGATAGTTATATGAATTTTGTTAATTCATAGTCATTCCAAGGGCTTGATGAAGTGCTCTTTACAAATGTTGCTAAAAATAATTTTTGGGAACAACACAGACAAGCATATGACATACCAAAAATGTAATAAATGTTTAAATATCATACATCTCCAGACTCTTATTTCATTTAAATGTCATTAGAATCAAGTATTTCCTATCAAACTGTATACCTCTAAAACAACACTAAAAACATAAACTTAAAACTCACTAAGTACTGAAGAGAGAGATGAATGGAAATACTTAAAAATATTATTTTTCTTCATAGCTAAATACATAATTCATATTTCTTTGTTTTGCAGATTTTTTAATAAATTATTGGTAGCTTTGTTTGTAAATTGTTAAGGTGGATTTCCACATATTTATTTTAATTTTAAAAGTTAAACTTCAGATAAATTGGGGAAACCACTTAATTTGGTTAAGATGGTTTGATCCTGGTGTATCTCATTTCACCAGAATCAACTTACAGAAATACAGCTGCTAAGCTAAAAAATTTTAATAACACGCACTTTCAAATTGATGAAGTTTCTATTTGCATACATACCTACCACATCCACATCAATTGTGGCATTAATTACTCCTTGAGAGTTTGTGGCAACACACATGTATTTTCCACTGTCAGTATTGAGAACTCGATTAAAATGTAAGGTACCATTATCATCTTTAATATGAGGTGGCCATTCTGGAGACCGAGCATCAAGTTTTGTCCATTTCACAACAGGTGGAGAGGATCCACCAGCTTTGCAATATATTTTAGCATTTGAAGACAATTCCAATTTTCTGTTTACAGGAGCTGGGATAAACTTTAATTTTTCTGCAAAATATAAGTAACACAAAATAAAAAGGAAAAAAGTGTTAACAGTGTTTATATATAATTTGTTACAAAGAAAGAAACAAGAAAAATTTAGAGAGACAACTTCTAACAACTTTTATTTGTTGCCAATAACTTTTAATTTGTGATTATATTTCCCATTTGTATTTTGCAATATGTGTGTCAACACGATTTTTACTTCTTGTTTTTTGGCAATGTTTTCAGTTGTTGTCACTTTTACTTTACTATGCTTACCATGTAACATTTACTGTGCCTATAATTATTTTGTATTTCAATATATGTTAATCCGGATGAATCTCTGCTTATTTATTTGTCTCCATTCCTAACGCTAGACTTCATCATTATTAGCATACATAATACCCACTATTCATAGAAAAGCATTTTCCAGGAATAATTTTCATGATCTATCTTTCCTTTTAATTATTAAAACTCAGATTGACACATTGTAGCAGCAGCAGAAGTACAGTTTTTAAGATCATTTTGCAAGTTTATTACTGCTCCATATGACAACCACATAAAAAACCCCACAGTCATTAAAACTGCTCAAACAACAAAAATGCACGCAGATAAAAACCCAAACTGATAAGTGATCCCATGGATATATAAAGTCATGCATAAGAAAATAACTTACCAATTATTTTCAGTTTATACAAAACAGATTCTTTTTTCAAAGCTCTATCATGTTTTCTGTGTTTCAAAACAGAAACTAATTCTTAAAATTATGAATTTGAATTGTTTCTATAAGCTTTAATTTTAAACATACACAATTCTTATTTTCCTATTTAAACCTCGACTAAGTCTGACAAAAACAGAAAAAAAGGAAATGTTGGCCTCATCACTTTTCTAGCTCTTAAAATAATAAGGAAAATAAACTGCATTAACATACACATATAAAGAACAATTGTTGTTATAATTTTTTTAAGAATTCAGAAATATTTGTGTAGAATAAATTTAGTGCACTAAAATAAGTAAAAAATGAACTCCTGAAGGAAACAAGGAGTACAGCATCCTGGTTTCATTATGAAAATATTTGTTTAGACAATCAGAAATATTGTTGCAATATTGAATTAAAAACAGTGTTTCATATAATCCAGCTAATTTTTAACTATAATGCTTAGGATTAACTTGAAATTTCACAGGTAATCATTGTAATAATTACTATCAGAAAAACCTAATTTTATTTTGTAGACATGTTATGTGGGGTCTTACCTCAAAGGTTTTTATTATATAATCCATTAAGTGGGCATGCCCTATTCATTGTTCACTCTGTTACAGCTGATGACCCATTTTCAGTTTCTTTTCTTTTGACTTCACCGAGTGAAAAAAGCAATTACAGAAAATGTCTAGCTTCATACTCGTAGTTTTACTGCCTAAGTTGAATGTGACGGTATATTGCAGTATGGCTTGACCAATATTAACCTACATGCCATTTTGTAAATTAGGGGTTCCCAAAGTAATCAATACAGACTCCTTTGTGATTACCAACTCTCAATTGAGAGTAGCCCCAACTTATACTTTTTGTCCACTCCATTTTTTTTTTTTCCCTCATCCCGTATTTCCAGCAGAAAATTCTGACCTTAAAAAAATTACAATTAATGAAGAGGATTTCTGAGTAAAAATACACAGGTTTCTGTCAAAAGTCGTTAATCCGGACTCGTCGGGACTTCGGCGATTCCAGATTATCGATTTTTCCGGATTAGAGATCATCAGTTTAAATCTGGTAAGATGGCATGCAGAAATTATCAAATTAAAAATATGAAACCGTAATTTATGAAATAAAGAACAATTATGATCTAAAGGGTATCAAAATTTACAAAAAAAAAAAAAGCTTAATATTTATTTGTTTACTTTATTAAACATTTCTTTCAATGTAAGTTGTTTAAGTTGCTTCGTTTTATGTGATAATACTTTCTCTTTAATTCTATAAACAAACATAATTTCTTCTTCAGTTACAAAGTTCCGCTGTTTAAGTCTTATAATTGCTGTGTCGAGAATACCGACTAACTTGTCAATAAAAATTTTTTCGTTTTCAATAAACTCTGTGTCACTTTCTTCTTTATCGGAAGTGAATTATAATGACAAGGAATTTGATTTAAATCATATCAAAGACGGAGTACATCGAGATGAAATACTACATTTAGTAAGGAATTATAAGCCAAATAAAATAAAAACATCTGCCCTGAAGATAAGGATAGTGCTGACAGATTAACTTCCAATTCATTGCGCGCCGCGGCCCCCCCCCCCCGGCCGCAGAACAGCATGTAATTGATAAACAGATTTCGGAATGGTTAGAGAAACGAAAGATATGCCTTTATCCATTTTTTGCAGCAATTCCACTTTTTGTTTAATGGACTTCGAAACATACTTTCGCTTTGTAGATAGATCCTTTACATATTAGTAAATATATATCGGAAATTCTATTTGACATAATCGAAAGTTTAAGCTTACTTTTATAAAATTGCTCTAACAGTCTGCAAAAAATAAGAAGCCGGATCCAATTCGAAGATTAAGGAACAACGCAATTTGCAACATAAACTGAATTAGATAATTTTAGCTTAGCTTATACCGTCTGTTATGCATTAAACGCGCAAGCGTAAACGTATCATGCGCATGCGCACACGCATATTTGCAGCCGTAAAGGTCTTACGCGCATGCGTCAAAGCGGCACATGTGCAGAAAGTTTGTAGCTTTGAGGTCCGGATTATGGGCGTCCGAATTAACGACTTTTGACTGTATCAGAAAAACCTAATTTCATTTTGTAGACATGTTATGTGGGGTCTTAGCTCAAAGGCTTTTATCATATAATCCATAAGGTGGGCATGCCCTATTCATTGTTCACTCTGTTACAGCTGATAACCCATTTTCAGTTTCTTTTCTTTTGACTTCACCAAGTGAAAAAAAGCAATTACAGAAAAAGTCTAGCTTCATAGTTTTACTGCCTAAGTTGAATGTGACGGTATATTGCAGTATGGCTTGACCAATATTAACCTACATGCCATTTTGTAAATTAGGGGTTCCCAAAGTAATCAATACTGACTCCTTTGTGATTACCAACTCTCAATTGAGAGTAGCCCCAACTTATACTTTTTGTCCACTCCAATTTTTTTTTTTTTTTTTTGCCTCATCCCGTATTTCCAGCAGGAAATTCTGACCTTAAAAAAATTATAATTGATGAAGAGGATTTCTGAGTAATACACTGGTTTCTGAAAATTAAGCAACAAATGGTTGGTTTATTTACCAACAGATGGCAAAACACTTGAGAGCTGTCTGCCTAAGGAAAGGGAGGGCTTTGTGGAGGACTTTCTTAAGGAAACTGGCTCATGTGTTACACATGGGGAAAATCATGAAAATGGCCATGCAGCCAGCCTGTTTGCAAGGATTCAAAACCCACACTGAAGCACTCAGCAAGAGTCTAACAGAAAACTGATGATAACTCAAAAGGCGTGCAAGCTAACTGGATGGAACTTCATGATAATATTTATTTTACCACTTGTAAATTAATAACAAAAGAAAATGTACAGAATATTTATATTTGAAACCCATAAGAGCATAAATTCTCCTAAATTCGGATATACAAATTAAATACAACACAATTTCTCAAAGTGAGTATGATTACGCCAAAGAGCAATACAGGCCTGACAGTGGCGTCTCATGCTGTTTATGATCTCAATGAACTGTGTGGTTAGCAATGCCCACTGATCACATAAAGCTGTTCTAAGCTCATTTAGTGTCTGGGGAGGGAGCTAGAGGCCAGCAAAAGGCTTCCCAAGAATGTCCCACACATGCTGAATGATATTAAGATTATAACAGCATACTAAGCATTCCAGTTAGAATACAGTTTCTTCTTCAAGAAATTGGTGCAAGAGGTGAACACAAGGTATGAGGGCAGACATTATCTTCTTGCAAAATGAGGGTATTTCCAACTGCTGCAGCATATAGACAAACAACAGGATCCAGTATGTTGTCTGTATACCTCTGAGTATTGAGAGTTCCACAAGGCAGGCCATACAGGTCTGTGCTCCCACCTAAAGAAACTTCTCCCCTTACTTTCCCCCTTACCTCCTGTATAAATATACTTTTCAACTATGTTAGATGGAAGATATAGAGGGTTTGCTTCTCATCATATGTAATTTTGTCTAGAATAACTGTATAAAACAATGCAGGACTCATCAATAAACAGAATAGACATCTACTGATTCTTAGCCCAGTTTCTCCCTTTAATGACATGCAAAAGTAAAATTTTGCATGTCAAAAATGCAAGGCAAAACAGCAACCTTGCATTTGGTGCAGATTTTAATCAAAACTAACCATTAAATTTCACATAAAACATAAAGTTGCTGCTTTGCCTAATTTCAAGATATGTATATTTACAGAATTAAAATTTAAATAAAATCTTAAATATAGGTTTAATTAGTCTTATCCATGTTATATTCATATTAATATTACTTGATCAATAAATAAGTGACATTACTACAGAATCACATAGCACATTGTTTATTACAAATCAACATCAACTGCCGATTCCTTCAGTTCAGTTAAAAAAGCAACTAGTGTGTTGACGAATATATATAACATCTCCCTTTTTTTGGCAGAGTCATAGGAATCACTGCATTACATAATTATCATATTTGGATGGTTGATATACATTACGACCACTTCTTGTTTTATATACACAATCACGTTTAATATTATTGTTATTATCTTGATGGTGAGGATCATTATGTATTTTTGGATGTTCACTACTTATATTTTCCTCATTCTCATTACAAAGATCATAATAGTCTAATGTTACTAAATTCTTCTGATTTTTAGTTTTTCTTAAATGGAATTTATTCTGTTCTAATTACCCTATTATCTTTTGTTCTAATCCAATATGATCTAGGAGTTGAATGCTTTTTTGAAAACTATAGCCAGGCTCCCATTTATTTTCCCATCTCACCATTACCTTTTCCCCAGGAATAAATTCAGGTCTTTCCCTTGCA